AATGTATGAGTATAATTTGATGTATCACAGGAAGTAGTTGTATCTCAGTTTTGTTTATTAGAAATGTTTCTTATTATGAAGCAAAATGCCTAGCAAATTTTTTAATCATGATTAGCGAAAAACATCTTACCGAAATAAATGAGGTTAGTTGTCTATGTGGCTACCATATTTTGGACACTTGCGGTTACCCAACGCAATTTCGCAAATCGCTGGGAAGTTAGACATATATTCAGTCAGCCGTCTTGTAAATGTCAACTGGATGACAGCACATAATCATTTGCCGCAAGGAGGAGCGAGTGGAATACAAAACAGTTTTACGAGGCACTGTGTGGTACAATGATGTTATTATTACTTGAAGATGGTTGGATACAAGTGCCTGGAAAATGTGTTATGTCTTGATGTTTAACAAAGCATAACTGTATTAGAAAGTTAAACTTATCACTCAAAAATATAAGCAGTAAATTTTCGCATCAAACAATTATATATACGATAAGTGTTCTAAAAGCATTATTCAAAATGCATACATTGATTTAAATAACTTCGAATTACATAATGTATGCCATGTTATGCGACCATAAAGAAAATATCATATTAAGGTGCAGAGTTCTTCAAAGGGTTAGCCATCGAATAAACTCTGAAATATAGGTAAAGCATGATGGAATATACAGATACTATTCTTAGAAGTGCACAACACATGGTAAGAAATCTATGACATACAACTTTAGCGATCACGTAAGCTTACAAGTATATTTTCCATACGAATATGGGTTTGGGTAACATGTCAATAAATTGTTATTCAGCCGTTTAATTATCTTTAAATTCTTATACATTTTACCGTATTTAATTTCCGCGTAAGAGGTATTTCTTTCAAAAGTGATTAAAGTAGGGTTTAAATGAAGACACAAACGCTCAACATGTACATGTTAATTGTTTTAGATGCATTAATTATGTGGCTGCGTGAAGAGAAATTAGATAAACTTATTTGCAAAAAGGGATACCTCTAACTGCATAGTAATTTTTTGACATCCCTACATTTGAAAATAATTTTTCGGTGTTTACGCAGTGTGTTGACCATGATTTAATTAAGTGAAGCTACATAAAGGTAAACCAAACAAACTAATTTTCTGGCCCCAGCTCATCAATTAGTTTTGCTATTTACGTCTGTTGAAATAAAAATAGCGCAAACAACTTCAAAATGCTTGAAATGGACTTATGTATATTATCATCCTATGCGGGTCAAAAATATATTCTTTTCTAGCGTGTACAAATTTGGTAGAATATTAACAATTTCACATAATTCTTTTAATAGTTTTTCATTCTTAACCTATGGACCTTGTTTGGTAACTCATATTGATGAGTTACAAGGAAAATTCTTGGATGGACAACGAAATATCGTAGCATTACACGGCTTTTGAAAGCAAAGATATTTAATTGCTGATCTACTTGTTTGTTTGAGAAGCAACTTAAAATGTATAGTTGAGGTTTAAGTAACAAATCAAATAAATTACATTTACTTAATGGCTTTTAACTAAACGACAAGCGCTGTAAGCCATTAAAATGCCAGCGAAAACACGGTTAGATTGTTATATTTGCCACCATACTATGTGTTGCGCTGACTAGAACAGGCTATATCTTTAAATAGCAGATATTAAAACCAGAATGAAAATGTCCTCGCTATACATTTTACTGGTCATAATGCAAGTAAAGCGTATACAAACCACTCTACAATGCACATACAGTGTTTGCTTTGTAGTTGATAAAATAAAGTTATAAATATTAGTGGCTTAGTAATTATAAAACATTGAAGATATACATGCAAATATTTGCTTCGCTACCGTTTACATAACTCGTGCAAAATTCAGCTGGACTTTTTAAATGGATAGCGGTCGTCTATTAGTTACAAATGAGTGTAAATTTTTGACTCTCGTTTTCGAGATAAATTTGCATTTTATCATTGATTCTTATGAAACTAAGCATAAAAGACCAGGTTAAATATTACCAGCTTTTAAACGATTACCGGGCAGTTAAAGAACAACGACCTGTTGCGTATCATTCACAATTTATTGAAAATCGTCTTCTAATAAGTGCACTTTCATGCATAATCTAATAACGAGTAACAACATTTTCACCAAAATGTCCCGTTATGCATTACTGCATTGTAACTCTTTTCTACCTATTATCTAATACCTCATGTTATGATGCAAATATATGCAATTGGCCGAATTTTCTCAAGAATAATCGTTGGAAATATCTATCCGTTGAGCTCAGGCCTCTGACGGCATAATATAAAACCCAATTCAGATCGATGATTAATTATTTTATAGAGCCAGCGGGGGTTTTGTATACTAGTGTTACACATCAAGAAAAACTACAGACAGGAAATAAAATAAAAGTAACAGTGTCCTTTTACGATTGGGAGCAGTGTTTCCAACTTATACACAAAAGCGCTAGGTTTGGAAGCAAATAAAACTTGCTACATAGTTGTTAGTCGAAACCGGAGGTAATCCTTCAAATATCAAAAATATCTATTAGTTATGCGAACTCATATCAAAAAATTCAACAGTCAGAGTATTAAAGCTTTTGAGCATATCCAGTGTTAACTAAAGTTAACAAAAATACCCCGTTACTGGTAGAAATGAAAGTTTTTCAGAGAGTTCTTAATCATACGTTTTACAATTCAAATTCTCTTAACCCGAATCAAGGAAGCAAACAATTGCCGTATTTTCTATATTTTTTAATTAAACACCACATCTGTAAATATTTTGTACCAGAGTATACTTATAATCTTAACAACGCTTTCGGTTTTCATGCAACGTGTTTAGTGTAAAAACATTACGAAAATCCAATATGTGTGTTTATCTGTCGTGTTAGAGGGTCACAAACTTCCAAACGGTTCTAAACGTGTTCATGCAAAAGAAATCCTTGTGCCGCAGTTCATTCGCACGGTTTGCTACAGCTGTTTCGAATCAAATTCAATTATGTTTCGTCTCCTACTGTGCAACTGCAGTAGATGTTGGGCATAAGTAGGATGAAAGAAACCCACACGTTTGGCTCGTTTCTCATTGCATTGCGATCTAGTTCATGGACACTTTAGACTTCCAAGGAACTCCCACTTCTTATGGCAATATGATAGCATTTGTTATGAACTTTACGGAAATTTCTCGTAATATAACGTCTTAACTGCATTTTCTGCGGCTGTTTGTAAGAGCAATCCAACAAATGTGTACGTTTACTTTGGCTTTGATGCTTATAGAAGCCAGGCAATTTAACGTATGCTACTTATATATAAATTTCGCAGCACATTTCGAGATTCATAGTAGTAAGTGAACGCTATTCTAAGAACACCTTCTTAGCGTATATGATAAGATGTCCAGAAAATATGAGCAATACTAGGTTTTTTGGAGAGATGGAGATGAAGATGACGGATAAGGGATGAGATACTTTTCATGCCTATAGTGTTTAGCCAATATAAGTGGCGCAGAGAAGAAAGAAGTTATAAATTTCATTGCTAGCAATGTTCCCAACAAACTAAATAATAATGGAGTACAGCAATAACAACTTGGTTCAGTTAAATGTAAACTGACATAAAATGAAACAAAATTGAAGGCAAACTACTGCGAAGATACTTAAAAGCACAAGTTGCAACGTTGAGTGTAGAAACACAATTTCAACGGCCACAGGATGTATGTTATATACACACCTTTGCTAGTTACATTAGAGATGTAGATCGAATCAATTTAAAGCAATACGCATGTAAAGCAATACGCAGAATTTGCAAAATAAAATTAAACTTGATTGCAATTGAACAACCTTTTAAGTCTTGCGCAATTACAACAAAGTCTGGCAAGCGAACGACCATTAAATTCAGGAATATAATTAATACTATCGTATAAAATGTGCCGCTGCAAAGATACTTCAAAATGGAATGGACTTTTTAATTGATTACTGTTTTTACAGTTTATTTTCGAGTTCATTAATTAAATTGCTTAGGTCTATAGTAAATATTAGTTCTGTTATATATGAGCAGATGAATTATATTAAAGCAATGTTGTAAAATGTACCTAAGTTATCAAAACCTAGAACCTATCCGTTTGAAGGTACCTTGTTTAAATGTACCTTGTAGAACTAGATTTTCACGACCAACGGTAGACCGAAGATTGCGATGCAGAGTAGATAGCATTACATCTGCAAAATTGAGCTTAAAAACTGCTCATGGATAATGGAAGTAGCCATTATAGTTAGCGAAGTCATTTTGACGGTTCCAAGAAATACTTTGCTCAGTCGATGTCTTTGTTACTAGAAAAGGTAGTTTTTCTGATATTTGCGACAAGATATTAGTATAATTGCTTATCACACAAAACTCCGCAGCCTAGCAATCGGTACCTCTACAACCGACTTGCTACATTCTATTGTAATACTTGCCCCACGGATAGGCAACTTATGCTTAGTTCCAATACTTTCACGATTTATATAAATACAAGATGTGATCATTATGTCAGATAAATGGTTATAACTTTAGGCTGCAAAGCGTATATAATATTTTTAGATGAAATTCTTCTATAACAAACTGTGATGTGCGTTCCTGCTGTGCTGTTATTTGTGGTTTAGCGTACTACATTCACTAAGCAGCTACGGTAAGATTTTCAGATAAAATAGTAAGTTTGGTTTATTAACAACAGCTATTTTACTGTCTGGTTCAAAAGGTTGATCTAGTTAAACCTCATGTATGTATTTTAGCTACGCAGTACACTGAATTTGGGAAATTTGACTGAACTATTACCATTGGCTGGGTTTTCCTTTTGATTTATGCTTGTTGACGTATACTTTGTAACGCAAATATTATAACGTTAAATTAGCTCATTATAATCTTTTCTTTCTAATTCAGCCCAACTGGATCGGGTAAAAAATTATTTAGCCCTACGCCGTGTGCCAACTGCGTTACAAGAACGTGTAATCGATTGGTTCGATTACCTGTGGTACATGAATAAAATCACGGATGAGGAGAATGTACTCAACAGTCTACCCGATAAACTCAAAGCCGAAATTGCCATTCAAATGCATCTGGATACGCTAAAACGTGTGGAGATTTTTCAAAACACGGAGGAAGGTTTTCTGTCAGAGTTAGTGCTTCGTCTCAGAATGGTGTTGTTTGCGCCTGGAGATTTCGTCTGCCGCAAAGGTAATAAAATATTTGAAGAGCAAAAGCTACGTTTACTTCATTCAGATTATCTGATAATTTGATAAATTTATGATGTCACTTCTAATTACTATTGATTTGAATGAGTTGTTCATCACGTGGTTAAAGTACCCATTCCCAACGATGATGTTTATATGATTTTGGTAAGGCGAATGTAGCAAATAACTAAGGAGCAATCCGGTTTACCGTGGTTCGCTTATCAGTCTTTTATTGCGTCATCTAGTGAATGCCATTTTGAAGAGACAAGGGAGTACTTATTTTACGCACTGCCTCGAAGATGTATAGTTTGTGCAAACTACTGCGACCTAAACGCTCCACCGTACGGCAGATTAGTATTGAGCCAAGTAGCTAGGTATATTTCAATAATTTAAGCAATTGCTTCGTCACGCTTGTGAGAAACATAAGGGCTGTACTCCTATTACTCACTGGATAAAATAGACAGAAAAATTTTGTAATCAATGATGTGTAATGTGCCAGCAGAAAATGGTTGGTTATAGCTTAGTAGGGGTCATATCTGTCCTTTCGTGACAAGTGACTTCTATGAGTGGAATTGTCTTAACTCCGTCCGTGTCTAACTTTTATACAACTTGGGTGTTTTTGGCTTGTAACAGAACATTACTGTGCTGCGATCGTAATAGGACCGATAGTTGGTTACTCAGCAACGTTATCTATTTATTATTTGCCAAACAAGAATGAAGTTTGAGTTTATGCGCTTATAGTATATTTGCATGGATTTAATACTTCTTTAAAATAAAAACGTATACACGCTTTAAACTGAAAGCATGTTATTATGGAGAGGGAAATATGTGTAGGCGCTATGTAGAAAATTGTTGTTTCTTGTACACCTTGTATGACACAATTCACCCCAAATTGAAACAAGGGCTTTGCATACAAGCGCCACGCCATTAGTTTCACTTCAATTTGAAGCAGATACCCTGAAGAACAATTTCTGTCGAGTAAATGAGGACAGCCGGAACAGTGAGAGTCGGGTGCAATTATAGTGCAAAGTACTGAACGCAAATTAGTTGTGTAAATCAAACGGTAGAATTAGTGACAGAACAGGAATAATAAGGTACTGCTATTTAAAGCATTTGTATGAAACAAAATGGCGCTCAATATCTAGTCACACCAATGAACCATATCAAGTTGGCATATCCACTTTATTTATGTTTCGTATGGTTGATTGGATTATAAAATGTTTTTGCTAGCAACATATCTATAGAGATTTGCAGTAGAGAATCAGTGTAAAACGAGACACGCGTGACTAGATACTAAAGCAATCATGGCAGTTACTGTGGTGATGATGTGTACTTGACATTTGTTTTTATCTCCTGACATCCTACTTACGTTTCACAGATAGCTGCATCTGCAACTTGCTGTGCAAATATTAATATTGCGAGTTGGCAGTAAGTCAGACGACGTGTACTTAGTCAACAAAGCCGAAAACGTTGATGTGTGTTGAGCGTGCATGACTTTTACATTATATCTGTTTACTGGTACTACATTTGGATAAGGCAAGTAAGGAAAACAGAAGTTGTTGAGAATGCAGAGCGTTGGTTAAAAAATTTGCTAATTCCTTTTGGCCATTAGTTCTAAATTGACTGCTTACTATACAAAAGGATGATGGCGGCTTCAATGTAATCGCATATATGATTTATTCGAGAAAATGAGATAGTCCCCGAAGTCCTTAGTCATATACACATGTGAATAAATTGTATAAATCAAAGGTAGGTTGTCGCTGATGGTGCACCATGATATATTTTGGCCTAAACTAGGAAGGCTAGTAATTTATACCGTTTTCATCTTGACCTTAACTTTGTGTATTTAAAATTAGAGTTCCCTTCGTTCAACAGACAATGTAGCCAATAACAGAATATTCAACTAACTTTATTATCAAGACAAATAAATATCCAGTCATTTTTCTCAACCCAAAGCTTGTCTTAATCTAGGCAGATTCGTGTACACATACTGACTGTTAATTTGTAAAATATGCCTATTGTACACTTGTATTATCAGAGAATATACGTGCATGAAACTATACACCTAAAGTTAATTATTGCAAAGATTCTACAGGACGTTTTAACTGGCATTAATTAATCTTAGCCGACCTGAATTACAGCCGCTTATCTGCAAAGTTTTTTTCAATTCACAACCAGTTTACTTCACCGTTGATTAAACGTACACTATATGCACGAAATTACTAATTTTTCTGTCAACTATTCTCATTTCATATCCGAATAAGGGTTTAAGACGCTAATACGGTACAAAAGTTTAGTTAATTAAATCATTACTTTGGATGAATGAGTCAATAATATTTCTAGCGATTCTTTTATATTACGAACAATGAACAATTATTTAAAACGGGTAAAAACGCAGGTGCTTGACTTGTCCCGTAGCGTGTTTAGCGTGAAAAAAAGAAGATAGCGAAGGGATAATGGAGTCTTCAGTTCGGGCCAGTACAGATGTAACTGCACTATCGTATAAAGGGAGTTTTAAATGAGAATGTACGCACACAAAGCAACAGGGGAGTAATTAGTGATCACATCATAGGCAAGAAAAATAAAAACGTTAGCAAGGACAACGCTTACTCGTGTGCAACTATGTTGTGTCCACAGGATACAGAAATTCAGTTTCTATAGTAGTAGCGTTTATCAAATTTCATGCAAGGTGTTGGGAATGACTCATTCTCGAGTAGGGTTATGGTACTGTCCACTGTCTGTTGTGCATTAGTGCCAGCATCTGGTGGTCATGAGCTATAGCACGTAGTGTAAATGTGACAGGATATCGTCAAGGCGTTTTTTGAAAAGGGATAAGGTGGGTGTATTAATTACATGTTCCGGGAGGACGTTCCAAGGCGGTGCCATTCGAATGATAATGTTATACGTGATTCCAGATTTTAGTTACTAGTAACAGTGTGAGATTGCAGTGAATCTGTTCCGTAAATTATTTTATATTCTTGCCGGGTAAATTATTATAGTAAGATGACAGTGACACACTGTTAAGCTTTATGTAGGTAACCACACAAACAGAGCCCATAAACATTTTGAGGAATATACTGCGAAACGTTCAAACACTTCCGAGGTCGTCCTTGCCGAATAACCTAAGAAACGATAAATATTGAACGATTATGCGCATAAATTTATTAGAAATGGATTTATTTTTCTAAGTTTGTTTATTAAAATTCCCTCAGGATAGGGTTTATAACGATCAAAGCATTGCCCAAAATTTGTATCTCATTGGTTAGCTAAAAGCCATGCTTTTTTGTTTACGAAGTAAACTCCTTTAGGTAGATGGGCAATTAGTAGGCACTTGAGGGTTTCTAAGTTGTAGGTACCATTGACAAATTCTGATGTAACAAGTGTTGCTTTTTTGGTCACAGCAATCATTTGTTCTTCTAAAAGGTGTCTAATGGTATTTGCGCACATTTATTTGCAGCCCATTACTTCCAAAAACCGACCGTGTCTCTTAACTTAACTAAAACCGTGTATAGAATACAACTTATAGAAGTGTACTCCTAACGAATTTATGCGGTCACCAATGGAAAGTGGCTTCAAAACCTTTTATCAAAACATTGAATTAGACAAAACTGGTAGTAAAATCAAAAAACCACCACTCTCATGGTGAAATTCACGTCTCCGGAAAAGAAAATAAGAACACAATGTTAAGTACAAATCATCCGCCTCAAAATTTTACAACGTACATTCACTTGTTTTGTTATGGCGCGAAATTACCCATCGAGAAATTAGTTTTAATGCTGAATATGAAATTTTGCATGATAAAAGCACAGCTTGTTCAATATCGGTTATTTGGATATGTAAAGTGTCGCGACTTAATTAACCTTCAGCTGTGTTGATATGTTCCTCACTTGGCGAACTTGCTGTTGCATTGTCTTCAGAATCGCAGCAATGACGGCGGCGGTTAACCGGTCTTCTTATGGCGGACTGTGACACAGAGTGGCATTTTTATTAGAAACGGTTGTTCGATTGCATGTGTAAATGGCAATATTGCCATGTAAATCGATAAAAGGAACAAGAATATCTGTGGACCATTTGAATCATTGAGTTTTGTATGAGCTAACACATTGGGGAACCTTCAGCAAATAGTTTGGTCTTGCTACGGTCCTCCCCTACCCGAGGAATTAGTATTGCAGCTCTGAGCGCCTAATTCTCAGAATCCAATCATACATAGAATGCTTAAGATCAGCAAGGAACAAGAGAAGGCTTAGGGACTTAGCATTTATCTCCAAAGATTAAAAGCTTTTCATTGAGCAAACTGTTAATAGGGTTATCTTTAGTTTAGCCGCGAGTAGAGCATAAAATTTTGTTGATTAATTTTGTGCACGATTACTTTAACATCGCCAATGCCTTTACTTAAAACCAAGCAAACATTTGCTGTTTTCTGTTGCTCTGCGGAAAGAATTGTTCTCCGCATTATTAGTTTGCGGATTTACACTTAACGGAGAAAAACATTTTAGGACCTCACCGGGCGTCAAATTAAGTTGCTACCATAACGAGAGGGATGTCGTACAAAGGTCTTCTAGTGATTAAGTTTCCTTCATGTTTCTGCATATTTGGATAATATATTGAATACTTATCCTTGGAATGTTAACATTTCTACTTTACTAGTTTTACCATGCTATATTATCTCAATTTTCCATGGCATGTTCAAACATGCACAATAATATCTTGTGCTTTCTACGCTAGAGAATTGCCTTCAATTTTTCTGATCACAGTCCCTGCATTCAAACTACACAGTCTGAAATGCCAGACTAGCGTACTTAATTGGCATGCCATTCAACAAAATTTCATTTAAATTATGCGACAAGTACAGTGGTGGAATACTTCCAGAAAACTGTGCTACCTCAAACATTGCAGTCAGTAAACCAAAATTTAAATCGGATTAAATAATGGCACATGTTCATGCTTTCTGTACGACATCCAATGCTTCCGTCCCTTTGGATTTTCGGAATCAAGATGACAGCT